CGGCCGGCTCCCCGTCTGCGCCGCTCCGTCACGCTGGCCACGTCCGTGACCCTGACTGTCGACGAGCCGGGACCGTGCGCCGGCCAGCACCTGCACGGCCAAACGGCTCCCAGGAGTCTGACCCCTCCGTCGAGGCGGTGTCACTCGGCCGTCGCTGCTTTCGCGTTGGGCTGAGCTGACCGCGGTGGCCGCTGGGCCACAGCTCTCAGGCCAGCCTCTCGGCGCCCAACTGCTGACGAAGCTGTCAGCTGCCAGCTCTGGCGACCAGAGGCATACACGTGGCCCGTGCTGGGGCTTCGGCGCACGGTACAGACTGGGCAGCACTCACCGTCAGACGTTAGTGGCGGGCTGTGCAGAACCAGTATAGCCGTCCGGGATTTGGGTGTCTCCTTTTCTTAAGCGGACCGGCATCATAGTTTGGCCGTTCGTATTGGTCAATCCTGCCTGCGTTTGCAAAATATTGACCTCATTTGGAATCGAGACTGGCTTATCGCTGTCGAAGCGTATGCTGGCAGCGGTCGGTTCGATGCGCGTCGGCGAAAGGGGACCGTCGTCGGCACACCAACCCTCCAGACGCGTGGAGGTGTTGACCCGCTCCATGTTCGGCGCCCCACTTCTCGGACGCCGGCGGGGTGATCCCCATGCACTTCTCGGCTGCCGTTGTCCCTTGCGTGGCGCGCCAAGCCAGCCGGCCCAGTGCGCACACTCCCCCCGAGGGACCACTGAGTGCCGCACCAACTCCAGGCGAGCGCGCGGCGGCCCGTGCCGCCGGCGAAAACAGCGCCAGAATCTCGTTACCCCGCCGAACTTCGCGCTGGGTAAACAGCGTGCAACTTGGCACCTCCGGGAGCTTCGCCGCCGGCAGCGGCCGGCTGGCTAAGCCGCGCCGCTGACGGCTGAGGGTGCGCCGCTCCGGGACCGGGTGACGGGGGCCCGGCTGAGTCCCGGCTTGGGGTGCGCCGCTCCGGTGACGGGTGACAGGGGCTCGGCTGAGCTCCGGCTGAGCTCCGGCTGAGGATGCGCCGCTCTGGGACCGGGTGACGGGTGCCCGGCTGAGTCCCGGCTTGGGGTGCGCCGCTCCGGTGACGGGTGACAGGGGCTCGGCTGAGCTCCGGCTGAGCTCCGGCTGAGGATGCGCCGCTCCGGGACCGGGTGACGGGGGCCCGGCTGAGTCCCGGCTTGGGGCGCGCCGCTCCGGTGACGGATGACGGGGGCCCGGCTGAGCCCCGGATTGGGGCGCGCCGCTCCGGTGACGGATGACGGGGGCCCGGCTGAGCCCTGGCTGAGGGCGCGCCACTCCAGTGACGGGTGACGGGGGCCCGGCTGAGCCACGGCTAAGGGCGCGCCGCTCCGATACGGGCGGCGCCGTGAGCGGGTTTCGGCCCGTATCTATGGCTGTTGGCTGTCGCTGAACACACCTGGCGCCGCGGACCGGCCGGTGGCGTGTCGCGTGCGGGCCGCTGAGCCCCTCCGGTCGGCTGTGGCGTCCGGTGGAGGTTGGGCCTGCTCCCGCTGACCTGGGCAGCCGCCGGTGCCCCGCTAGCTGACCTTTGGAGGCGGGCTTCCCAAAGGTCGCGCGCACCGGATGCCCGCCGCTGTCGCTGGCCAGTTTGTATTGAGCGCTCTGTCCTGTTTGGGCTTCCGGTGAGTTCCTGGTGCGAAGCGCGCTGTCGGAGCAGCTCGGACTGACTTCAGAAAGGAATTCCCTGCCGGCCGTCGGATGCTAGAGTTCATGGACGGTAATGCATCTGCGGCCCACGGACGCCGGCGTCGGCGTCGGCGGCGTCCTGTTCGCGCTGTCAACGGATAGTGCCAAGACGCACATATCCGCGCTGCGTCGGAGACCGTGAAAGCGGTAGTTTTAATGGGGTCTTCCTGCACACAGATGGCGCAGAAGGTGGAGTGAATGCAGGTGCTGTTTAACATTTTTGAATTGCATTTAGCATTTTTAACATTTTTGAGTGAGTCAAACACTCGACTTATAGTAGTTATGTTCCAGACTATTTGGAATCTGAGTGGTGGTTGCTCTCGCTACATGCCTTGACTCAGATACCGAAAGTTTAATGGTCGCAAACACTGGCGTTTAAGGGGTACATTTCTGCTACGGCGACGAGATGCTGCAGTGGCGGCTGCTGACCGAATACAGGGGCTCCAGTCCCGTGCTTCTCCGTTTTCCTCATTGTCTATTTGGAAAAATGTGTGGCCTTGTTCGTGATGTCCAAGATGTTCTATTGCAGCCGTAAATTTGGCAGCACGTGCTCCTGGTCGCCCCATTCCCCGTTGGATGTTTATCATCCCCTGAATCATCGTGGGCTGTGAGCAGGGATATTTTCGGCTTCGCTCTCTTTTGCGACTTTATCGCAACATTTTTAGTGTCGCCGCCTTCTTTGTGGAGCTCTGACAGGCTCCCTTGCTATTCTTTGTCAAGAACTCCTATAAAGTCCGGACCAGATGAAGTAGGTGATGGAAGCGTGTTGGTCTACGCCGTTGATAGCGCCCGATTTATGGGTCTCAGTTTCCCCGGTGGAAATGGCGTTCACCGCCGATGCAGAATAAGCCGATACACCCCCATTTGAATTTGTCGTGTTTTTGTGTCGGAGTGTTGAATCATCTTGTCACCTCGCAGAATTGGAAAGATTATCTTCCACTGCACCTTGTATCACCTGGTTAGTTGTCACTGAGCATTATTTGTAAGTTATTGACTGTGTCATTGTCTCCGTGTCTCCAGCTGCCAGTGTCTCCGTGTCTCTAGCTGCCAGTGTCTCCGTGTCTCCAGCTGCCAGTGTCTCCGTGTCTCCAGCTGCCAGTGTCTCCGTCATACTGATCTTGTCACAATTTTAATTCTAATCAATTTAGCTGCACGTGTTGCACTTTAAGTCAATGTTAGCACACCCCGTGACGAGGTGTAAACGCATCAGAATCAGCGACGAGTACCTGGAGCATTTCATGTATTTTGCTTGGCTATTTTGCCAAGTGCTTTGCGTTACCAAAGCGGCGGGATACCTGTCGTGCGGAATGCATTTTTGTATCTGTATCATTCATCTGGTGCTTGGGAACATTGACAACATCCTTTATCTGATGAAGACGGCTGTTGTATTTCGTGGTACGCTCAAGAAAGGTTTTGAGCCTGCTTTTTGCAAGATGAGTACAGAGGTCTTATGCCGACAGTTGTGGATCTTCATTATACCAATGCTGGTTAAAAAATGTTGTCGAGTAAACATTGATCATACTGAACTCTTGGTATGTCGAAGTCGATCGCCGTCAGCAGAAGAATTACATACTTATGATTTCGTTTTAGCTCCCGTATATCTTGCTATAGCTCTTGTATATTTGGATTTAAGCTCTTATTTTGCATCGACCTAACAATTCGCCATTGGTTTCTATCGCGTTCGTGATCATTCTGATCACGATGCCGAGCCTCGCGGTTTTAGAGGTCACCTGGTTGGGCCGTCAGCCTCTGTTATCGGTTTCAGCTGCTGCCTGATCGCTCTCCGCTGGTCGGATGAGTTCCGTCCGCTCTGCTTGGCTCGTCTGTTTGCTCCCGTGTCCGGACGGCGTGTCGGACTGAGCATGTGTGTTCCTTGCTCACCGTGTGCGGGACCGCCGCCTCTGCCATCCCGCCCCGCTGTCACCGGCCGGCTGTGACGCACGTGCCGCACCGAACCGGACGTACCTGATGAAGCTGTCTCGTTCCGGCCTCAGTAGCCCCTGACCTCACCAGGCTCCTGGGTCACCCCTACCGCGCGAGGGTCACCGCAGGTCACCCCGACGGCGCCGAGGTCACCCTGGGTTAGAACAAGACTTTGACATTCCCTTGTATAGCAACACTGCCCTGTGTCCTTCAACCATTGACGCTATACTCGAGGCATTATGCGTTCATAAGCATTGGTGCTGTATGGCGAGCGTTTTAAGGTGTGTGTTTTGCGGCTCCGGGAACCCTTTGGTAAACACTTCAGGCCCGTCGGCTGAAGGAGGTCGGCGCAGCACCTGGTGTGCGTCCCACGAGCGTGGGAAGCCGCGCACGTCACGTAAAGTCGCTCAAGTGATTTGCCGCTAGATTGCGCCGTTGCAGACGTCACGGTTGGCGCCGGGCAGCCGTCCGGCGCCGTCTGACAGCTGTCCGGCGCCGTCTGACAGCCGTCCGGCGCCGTCTGACAGCCACCGCGCGCCCCGCCCCGCAGCCCAGATGGCCCTGCAGGCGGCCGCGGCCCTGCTGAGTCGGCGCGGCCTGCTGCGGCTCAACTCGGCCGGCGAGCAGGCTCCCGAGACCGGCGCGGAGCCGGTGCTGGAGCCAGAGCCGGAGCCGGAGCCGGAGCCGGAGCCGGAGCCGACGCCGGAGCCGACGCCGACAGAGGCAGGGGAGCCGCCGGTTCAACCGGCTGCGCCGCTACTGGAGGTCCTGCTGCGCCGCAAGGAGGCGCCACTTATGTTGGCCGCTGCCGGTGGGCAGCCGGACCCGGCCACTGCCGGCTTCGGTGAGTGCAGCGACGGCTGAGCGACGGACGGCGCGGCGAGGCCGGGCGAGGCCGCTGGCTGCCGGCGCCGTCTCGGCTGGGAGAGCGGCGCCCGGCGGTGGGGCCTGCTGACCTCGGTGCCCTCGGAAATGGACTCCCCGTCCCGCTACCGGCGCCGTAAGTTAGACATGACCTCTGCTGCTGCTGGATCCAGTCGTGTGCCCTTCCTGCCGCCGGGATGTCCTCTCATGCCGCCGCCGTGGGTTGGACATGACTGCTGCTGCTGGATCCAGCCGTGTGCCCCTCCTGCCGCCGGATGTCCCCTGATGCCGTCGCCGTGCCGTGCGCAGTGGCCGAGCTGGGTGAGCTGAGCCTGCGCTCGCCGCTGAGCGTCGCCCTCTGGCGGGCGGCCGCTGGAGCCGACTCGCCGCCGGCGCTGCGGGGCCCGGCTGCGGCCGAGCCTCCTGGCGGCCTATCTGCACAGCACAGCTTCCGACCCCTGCCACCATCACTGGCTGACCGGCGAGGCTGAGAAGGAGGAGGAGCAACAGCAGCAGCAGCAGCAGCAGACTGGCGTACAACAGGTCAGCGCTTTAGCAGCAGACCGTTCCGTCAGTAACAGACGGGCGCTGGTGGCCGTTTAGGTGATGGTACTGACGGCAGAGAAGTGCTTTACGTTGACGTCGCTTGCTTCGTTGTTGGAACGCCAGCCGGAACAGGAATGTAATCTGTGGTGATGTTTGAAGAACTTAAGACATGTCGCGTGAAGTGATGCACCTTCGCGCCGTCGCGGTTTCTACCGCACAACCACTAGCTGACCAGTAACAGCTAATAGCTGACCTTTGCCGTGGTTCGATCTGCATTGCCGCGGTGCCAGCTGGTGAGCTCGTGAAGTGCGTTTCGCCTGTCTGTCGATGTGCGGGCGTGGCGTTGTCGGCGGGCTGACCTCCGGCGGCGCGGCCGTGCGCCAGGTGAACCGGCGCCTGTACTCGGCCGAGCTGACGCACGTGGTGACGGCCGACCTCTGGGACCCGGAGGCCGAATCGCTGCTGGACTCGGTGGCCATCGGCCGCGTGGCGCAGCGCTGCCAGCAGATGGCGACGCTGCGCCGGCTGCTCTGGACCAACGGCGCGGACCTGGCCGACGCCCGCTTCTGTCCAAGGTGGGGTGGCACCCATGGCCAGAGCCGGCCCTGCTGCCAGCGGGATGGGAGCTGCTGGGGAAGGGACGGAATTGGTCGGTGTCATTTTCGTTTGGTCCCGAATATTGTAGAAAGTGACTGCGCAGCATTATTGAATAGAGCGCGCAGGTGTCTCGTCGGCCGTCACGCCACTGCAGGTGAGCGCGTCCGAGGCGCACACCATGGCCAGCACCGCAGCAGCACCACGTGTGTGCAGCATTTAAGCATTATCCGTCATGCGTCAGCCGATGCGGCTGGCCGCGTGGACACGTGGCCGCGGCCCGCCCGTCGAGCCGTGCGGTGGTGTTGACGCGGTGACGGGTATGGCTAGCATCCGACGCGTGCTGACACGGCCGCGGCCCGCCCGCCGAGCCGTGCGGTGGTGTTGACGCGGTGACGGGTGTGACTAGCATCCGACGCGTGCTGACACGGCCGCGGCCCGCCCGTCGAGCCGTGCGGTGGTGTTGACGCGGTGACGGGTATGGCTAGCATCCGACGCGTGCTGACACGGCCGCGGCCCGCCCGCCGAGCCGTGCGGTGGTGTTGACGCGGTGACGGGTGTGACTAGCATCCGACGCGTGCTGACACGGCCGCGGCCCTCCCGCCGAGCCGTGGGGTGGTGTTGACGCGGTGATGGGTATGACTAGCATCCGACGCGTGCTGACACGGCCGCGGCCCGCCCACCAAGCCGTGGGGTGGTATTGACTCGGTGACGGGTATGACTAGCATCCGACGCGTGCTGACAAGGCCGCGGCCCTCCCGCCGAGCCATGGGGTGGTGTTGACTCGATGACGGGTGTGACTAGCATCCGACGTGTGCTGATGTGGCCGCGTCCCGCCTCTGTTTGCAGACGCTGCCACCGGGCCCTGGGCCTGAGCTGTTGGCAACAGTTCTCGGAGGCGCTGCTCGCCGTCGGCCGGCCCCATGGCGACGTCACCTCCACGCTCAGTGACGTCATTCCCGTACTGGTGACGGCACAGTGTCTGAGCGGCGAGCAGGCGGCCTGGCTGGCGGAGAGCGCCGCCGTCGTGCGTGACGTCACCGATGATCCAGTGGACATTGGGCGAATGTTCGTTTACATTGGAGGAGCACAGATGTCGGTACTGGGCCAGCTGATGGCTGTCGACCCCGTCGAGGAGCGGAAGCTTCTCCTGGAGTACAGCAAGGACGAGGCAAGTTTGATCCCTCCGTACCCAGTCCTTTGTTTCCTGATTGGTCTTTGGGCATCTGTTTGGAATGGTGTCCCAAGGCATTGTTTGTGCCAGCCGTTGGTCGCCGGTGTCGCCTCTTGCTCCGCATGTAACGTGGTGGTGACGGCGTTGCGGCACTCTCCAGATGGAGGACGTAGAGGCGGACCTGGCGGCGGCCGACCTGGCCATGCAGCTGGTGTCGGGCGTGCGGCTGGCGGCGCTGGCCGACCAGCACGTGCCACCGGCCCTGGCTCAGCAGCGGCAGCGGCTGCTGGCGCTGGACGCCGAGCGGGCCGAGCTGGACGTGGGCGAGGCGTGCCGTCCCACGCCGCCGCTCTACCAGCAGCTCAAACAGGCAAGTGGTGACCCCCCTACTTCCCCGCCGCTCGACAGACTGCTGACGAGGCGCTAGGCTTCCAGCTGGCCCGACGGCGAAGGTCTTCGCATGTGCGTTTGTTTGCTTGTACGTCACTGGGATGACGCAGAACTTAGATGCCGCGTTTCTGGGGTATCATGTGCAGGAATTTTCTCGAAGTTTCCCCCGCGTGATGGAGCTGCAATTCTTGTCTCTATTTCCGGTGCGGATGGCACGCAGCAGCAGCACGTGTTACCTGTGAGCCCGTTCGGCTTCATCGCTGCCCTGGTGCCCCCGCACCAGTCCCGTGGCGGAGGGCTGGCCGTGACGTGGCCGCGCCGTCCGCCGACAGGACGTGCGGAACTTCGCCTCGTCGGCCGGCAGCCTGGCGGCGCTGGCGACGCTGCTTGCGTCCGCCGGTGCTGCCCTCTGCGCCGACGGCCGGGACCAGGCGGCGCTGGCGTCGGTGCTGAGCCAGCTGCGCGCGCGCCTGCGCAGCTTTTCCGGGTTTGTGGCCGGACTGGAGGGACGCTACGGCTGGTACCGGGACCTGACGGCCCCGCTGCTGGCCGCCTACAGACAGGTGAGTGTCGGCGGCACTTCGCTTCCGAAAGCGCCGTGCTTGCTACGTTTGGGCGGTGGTATAGTGCCCTGCAAGGGAAGGCTGTTGCGTGCTCTCAGAATCCACATGCCACGTGATGGGATTCCAGTTCAATGAGGAGCTGTACAACCGGCCAGCCCTGGTCTGTATTTTCTGCTTAGTAACTGCTATGCAGCCGTTCGTAATGAAATGACCTCGTGGGATTGTTAAAGTTTATGGACCCCTCTGTTTGTGCGAATTTCGGTTCGACCAACAGAATTTGGGAGCCAACTCCCGAATTGTGTAATGTGACGCCCATTTCGAGGCATTTCAGCGCGGAGTTGAAACTATTCCGCCATCCCCACGCGTTTCTCCACATTTAAAGTAGTTTCGAGAGCGCAAACCGTAAATGTGCTGCTTCCCTACCCTTAAAGTTAGCACAGGTATCGACGTGTCACATGCATGTGAATAGCGATGACAACAGATGGCGGAATTAACTTGCAAGTGGGTTGTGGTGTTGTACGGAAAACGTTCAAAAGCCTTCTGCAACGTGCGAAATTCGTCAAAAGCAGAAAAAGCCACACTTCGAAGTCTCTAACAGCACTGAATAATTATCTGAAATTCGGAGCAAATTGAACTTCTTTTTTATTCGATTTCTGTCGGCAAAATGTGTCTTTCACGTACCGAAATTTTGTAAGTTTTGCGTTCCGGTCCTAAATCAAGTGGTGTTTGTGGTATTTGCAGTGTATTCGTGCTGCAAGCCTGCCAGCTCAGTAGTGCGCCGTACGTCCGTCAGAATGGATCCCACTTCAAAGCATTTTGGTTCGAGTTTTCTCGGGATGTTGCTGATTTCATGCGACTATTGATGACGTGGCCGTGACGTTTTTAGCGGGACCCGCGAGGCGAGAATCGCCGCCAACACTTTTTGCATATTGGACGGACATTGTGTTGTCTTCACCTCCCGGCTCCTGTCCCGTCTTCAGTGCTCGTGCACTAAATTTGCATTTGCAAATTGCACCCATTGCAGGAATGAGGAGTAAAGAGCACGTGCAAAGATGTTCGTACCACCCGACGATAGCTTGATAGTGTATCATATCGTGCAGTGCATACGTCGACAAGGTAGGGTGAGAACGGTGGTCTGACGGAGCTGATCTCAGCAGCTGTTGGTGGAGGCATTGCGGCGTTTTTGGCGCGGGCTGTGCACGTGTAAATGTACGTAAGTCAACCTTTTGCCCAACCGACAAGCATTTCACGCTGTGACACTGATACTTTTTGTAACACTTTCCACTCTGTAACGCTGGCCAGACTTCCCCAGGATTTACCTATCAACGCTGAGGGCATGACCTAAGCTCACTAGGCTATTCAAGAAAAGCACAGAAGCAATGGTGATGGAAGCAGTGGCTGGAAAAATGGAAATGAATTGGAAGACAGGGTGATATTTATCTCACCGCAATCCTTGCTACAGTTTTTACGTAGGAGTTCTGTAGTCGGCACCGTTTTTCAAAATGCGCACATTGCCGATCGCGGCGTATTCGACGATTTCTGACGCAGCCGTGTGTCGCGCAAAGCTGCGCAGCGACGCGAGTTGTAGACGGCACGTTAGTCGATGTCATGCAGTCGATTGTGTCTGAGCCCAATCAGCCCGGTCACGCGTGGATCGGCGCGCGTGACCGGGCTGTTCTCGCAGCTAGTTCTCCACGTGGGCTGTGACGGGTGGTGACAAGTCCCGCGGAGTCACGTGGGCCGCCGGCGGCAGGTGTCGTCCTGTCACGTGTCTCGGGCGGCGGGGTCGACACGTGAATTGGCGGCGGGGCGGGCCGCCACCTGGGAATACCACAGATCGATTACGAGGAGCGCGTTCGGAAGGTCTGTTACAGCGCGAGCTTTTGACAGTGGCGCGGGCACGTCGTGGCTAGAGATATTCGGTACCGCATGCGGCACACGGCCGCTACATCGAAACGGCGTGCTGTGGATTAGACTCTCTCGAACGTTGGTTGCCCGGTATGTCGTTCATGGCAGTGGAAGCGCGTAGGCTCTGCGGCGAGGTTTTCTCGCATCCACGGCCGTTCTCGCGCCACGTCTTTTTCAACTGATCTGCGGGAAGACTGCTGCGATTGTGCTGAGCTGACAGTCCTGTGCTTCTGTACCGGTATTGCTGATGTAACTGAAATCTCGCATTTAAGTGTGGTTTTATTCTTTGGTACGATTTTGTGTGGTGAGAATATTTGGAATGTTTGCACGTGGTCTATCTGAAAATTGTGTGGGCCCTGGTTGCCACTTTGCGTGTTTGCGTTATGCCTTATATATCGAGCAGCGAAGACGCCGCATGACAGCCTTTTCCGGCGTAAGTCAGGGCAGAGACGGCAACAGCGTTGAGCAGATTGGTGGGACAGTATATTCAAAAAGGTGTCTTTATTCTAAAGATGCGCATTTTGATTTATGGCATAACATGGGCATCATGATGATTTATGGTGATGCTGCTCCATGCTGACCCAAGGCTGTAAAACCACACCGGACGCTCAGGCGACGGCTAATGTGGCGCGCCGGCCGCCGTACTTCGGCAGTACAGACCAATATATATATATATATATATATATATATATATATATATTGCATGACGGGCGTACGCAGCCAGCGGAACCTCTACAGGGCCTGGGGTCTTATCTTAATGTAATGATCTCATACGATGGCACGGCCGGCGGCATTTATTGTTAATAAGCGCGGCAGGTCCTGTTATCGCCAGTGACTGCAAATTGGATACGGGCGTTAATGGCATCGAAGCCCGAGGCGCCACAGCTGATCTGAGCGTTTGCAAAAGTTGGATGACAGCAAACAGTGTTGTGGCAAGTAAACAACATTCTCTGGAAGAGGCTTTCTGTACAACAGATTCCTCCGAAGCACAGCACGAAAGATGAAAAAAGAACTGGGGGTGCAAGTCACGCGGCCACAAAGCGGAGCATTTAGATAGCGTCTGCCGCTGCGGATAACATTAAGCTTCGCTGGTTCCAGATGGATTCTTCTTGTCACGTTTTGTCGTCATTCTTAAATGCAGCTGCAGCTCCCCTTTTTGGGCAATATGAGTTCAGAGTCCTCACATAAAGGGGGGGGGGGCGGTGAAGCGGAACAGCATTGAAGACAACCAATGTTGGGTGGATACCTCGGCATAAATCTTTGAACTCGAATTTAGAACTGAGCAGTGGAGCCCAGTGTGAGCGTGGCGCTGCCGAAAGCGCGAACGGGGACCACGCTTTGGAAGTGTGGTAGCACCTGACATTTCTGGATTGCAGTGAGACTTCGGTATGGATTCCCGTCTATATTGCACTTCGGGGTGGTTGGGCTTACCCACCGAAATTTGAGTGGTATCAGGGAAAGCGTACAAATTGGTGTGCTCTTGTAAGTACCATGGTGGAAATGCATGACGATACGGGCCATAATGCTCGAGACAGGCTGCTGAAATAAATGCGTGCGTTTGATTGCAAAAACAGACAATGTGATGCAATACTAACTTCGCCTAATTCCATACACCGCAAGCCATTTATTCTGCGACTAAAACTGTATATGATGGTCAATGTGTGACGTGATGAAAAGGCGTTCTGCATTGTCCTAGCGGTTTTGTGCTGGTATGCTCAGACAGAATCTGACCATGAAGAGGTATCAAGCCTGAAAAAATAACATGAGGCGTGAGTATATTTAGGTTTCATTAGCGCGGTGGTGGTGTCCAGGCTGGCCAACGGTGTTTCTGTGCTGCTCAGACACCACAGCTTGGCCGCCGGGCCGTGAGCCGGGTTCACTCGCGGGCGGGTCAGCACGCGGTCGGTGGTGGACGGCCCGCTCTCTGGCGGCCGCCGGCCCCTCAGAACGCTCCCTGACCGGCTGACCGGCCCCGCCAGGTGGAGTTCGGCCTGCGTGTGCTGCTGCACAGCGCCGAGCGGCGCCAGCGGCAGCTGCGGCTGCCGGCCGTGCTGCAGCGGCTGCAGCCGGTGCTGCTGGGCGTGGCCAGCTGGCTGAGGCCCGCCCCGCTCCGGCTGCACTGCCCCGAGGTCGGGGCGCTGCTGGCCACCCTGCGCGACCCCGAGAAGCCCGACCTTCTGGCCGAGTGGAAGATCAGGTGGGTGGCGACTCAGGCCGCTCCAGCGCCGCCGCTTGGCCGCCGCTCGGACGGTCCGTGAGCTCCGGTCACAGGCGTTGAGCCGCGCGCTGTTCGGAGCAGGATGTGACTCCCGAGTCTAAGAGCAGGTGAATCCAGACCTTTCGCTTATTGATGTCGGTCTCTCGGGAGCAGATGCGCGTTGGGGGCCCCCTGCCACTCAGTCCCGGCCGCCGTTTGACCGTCCGCGCCCGTGCCGGCCAGGCTGCTGATGCTGATCTGTCAGGAGCTGACGGCGCAGCTCCGTCTGACCGGCGACGTCAGCACGGCTGACGTGGGTCTGCTGATGCGCGAGGCGCGCCAGCTGTGGGCGGCGCAGGAGCAGCGGCGCCGGGAACGCGAGCAGCAGCAGGACAGCATCTACAAGACCAAGTCAGTGGCGAACGGATCCCGGTACCCCACGGCCCGGCGCCCGCGGCCTTTTGACCCGATTGATGCCCAGACCGGCGCGTGCTGATTGTGCGTTGTGGCAAGGCGGGAAGGCTTGTTAATGTAAAAAACCTTGGTTTCAGGATTGACGTTGCTTGTGTCTCCACAGAGACCTGCTGCTTGAGTTGCGATTGTCCCTGACCACTCTGCGTCGGGGAGCGTTGTCATGGGAACCGTCAGCAGCATGTATCACTGCGCTGTGGTTGGTGTGGGAGTATCATGGCCAGTCCGAATTCGTGACCGAGCTGGGCGGTGGCAGGACGCACTGCGCAAATAACGACACGGCCGAGGAGGCGGAGACGGCGCGGGAGCTGGCCCAGATGTTTCCCGACTACAGTGGCGAGTTCTCCGACCTGCTGCCGGCCGGCCTAGCGCCGGCGCCGGCGCCGGCCGCCCCTGGCGGCGCCCTGCGGACAGAACCTGAACTGACGCCCGCCATGCTGGCCAGCCTATGGCGGCTGCACCGGGAGGCGTACGGCGCATGCGCGGCGGCCCGCTGGCTGCCCGAGCCGCCGGTGGCCGAGCCGCCCGACCTCATCCGACCCTTCTGCGAGAGGTGGGCCGCCGGACAGGCAGACGCCCGCCGCTGACGGATGCTGGAGGGCGGCGGCAGGCCTGCCCGCCGCTCTCCAGGTCCTTGTTCGCATGCAGGCTGCGAGAGCTTGGTGCAGGATGTCGATGTGCAGTGAATATATTTGATATTTTAATGAGAGTGAGTCATGCACTTCCACCAGTTTTTGCTCCGGAAGTGTCTCAAAACAGCGTCAGCTGCCTACGTTGAGCGAAATGTCAGTTGCAACGAATTAACGAGCCCCCGAGTCGTGGACATCTCGCCCTGTTGCGCCTTTCCCTACGGCCTCTGTCCGTCCCAGTGCGTCCGATCCTGTGACCCCCGTGTCCGGTCAGGTACCGGCTGCCGTCCGTCCCAGCGGCCTCTGTCCAGCCCAGTGCGTCTGACCGCGTGTCCCCTGCATCCGGTCAGGTACCGGCTGCTGTCCGCCCATGCGGCCTCTGTCCATCCCAGTGCGTCTGACCGTGTGGCCCCTGTATCCGGTCAGGTACCGGCTGCTGTCGGCGCTGGATGAGCCGCTCTCGTCGCTGCTGGATGCCGACGCTGACGGTCAGCTGGTGGCCGCTCACCTGATGGCCGCCGGCGTGCTGGAGGCCGGCGTCGAGCCGGAGTCGGCCGCGCTGGCGCCGCCGCCGCCTGACAAGCCGTACGACGTGTACCGCGACCCGCACGTCACCGAGGTACCGGCCCGGCCGCCGGCATGACTGGTTGGCGACCGCTGCGGAGACGTGCCCGGGCGGGGTTGGGTGAGCGGGTTTGTCGGGAATCCTGGCATCGGTCACGCCATGTCGGCTGGGCGGTCGGTCCTTAACTCGCTACCACGACAGGGGATTAGGATTATCTCGCCCTCCTTCCCCCTAGCCGTGCTTCGTTTACTCTCCGTGTCTTCTGGCGGGTGACTGCATCGCTACCTTGCCTCCCCTCCCTAATTTGTCGGTAGATCGCTTGGTCGTGCTCCCTGGACACCATCGCATGCTCGGTGACCGATGGGTGTTGTCGCTCTTCTGACCATATCGCGCCGTCATCTCAGGGCAACGTCCGACCTTGTTTTGCCACGTGCTGTGCTCGCACACCGCTCGTGTCACGGCCGGCCTCAGTTGGCCGCCCGGCCGCCAGGTGGTGTCGTGTCGCGGCGCGCTGCAGCGGCTGGACGGCCGTGCCGGAAAGCTGCTCGCATCGTGGCCCGAGCACCCGGCACTGGTGCAGCTGCGCCGCACCATCGACCGCGTGCTCCAGCTCAAGGTCACCACGCCGCTGGTCAAGGTCGTCACGGGGCTGGAGCTGGTGCTGGAGCGCGCCCAGGACTGGGAGCAGAACGCACACAAGGGTAACTGACCAACGACGCCACCAGCGACCTGCCAGCGCCGCTTGTAAGAGTGTTTCATTGAAGTGGAGCCAGCGTTCGACATGGTTGAGTCGCTGTGTGCTATTAGTATGCGAACTCCGTCTCTAGACCTGTCGTACCTCTCTCATTGGCCTCAGCTTTTCAGGTGGATACTGTCACTGGTGGAATGGTTCAAGCTCATGGTGAGCCAGGAGCGAAGTCTGCCGGATTGTTGTCAGTGTTGCCCTCTGGCCGCTAGGTGTCTCGCTGTCGACGCAGCTGGAGGAGATCACGGACCTGGTGCTGCGCTGGCGGAAGCTGGAGCTGGACTGCTGGAAGCGCTGTCTCGACTCGACCGCCTACAAGTGGGTGCTGCTGCTCCCGTGGGGCGCCGACCGCACTGGACCCCCAGCGGACCCATCCATGCTGAGTTATCTGCCAGATTACTCGTGCAGCTGTCTCTTAAGTAGAGAATCTATGCAACGATAGGGTTGATTGGTCTTGACCTTTCATCTGTCACATAGTTTCTCTGCTTTCACTTGAGCGAAATGGTCGTGGTTTCGTCCACTTGGGCATCTGCCCCGTCAACTTTTGCATGTCTCGTCTGTCTTGGCCATGTCCGTTACGTATCTTGGCTCCCGCGACCCAGGCCTCCCCGGCCGGGTTCTGGCTTTCGTGTTTCACGGCCCCGGCAGCTTCCTCGCGCTTTAACTCTCCGCCCTGTGCGCCACCAGCTGTCACGTGGTGTCGTGCTCCTTCCCCCCGTCCCCACCAGCCATCACGTGGTGTCGCGCTCCTTCCCCGCGTCCCACCAGCTATCATGTGGTGCCGTCCTCCTGCCCCCGCGTCCCACCAGTGGCCACGTGCCGTCCCTCTTCTTCCACGCGTCCCACCAGCTGTCACGTATGGTAACGGCCTTGCGCCGGCAGCTGCCACGTGTCGGCGTCGCGCTGGCTGCCGCACCTCAGCGGCCTGCTGGAGGAGCAGCTGGCCAGCGCCGCGCCGCCGGAGGCTGTCGCGCGCCTGCTGCAGCAGTTCATCGAGTCCAGCCCGCTGGGCGAGGTTCCCGGCCCGGCTTCAGATGCTGCTGGCCTCGCACCAGCAGCTGATGTGGCGAGGGCGGGATGAAGGACCACTCGCGCAGTAAGCCGATCGGCCGAGCCTGGTGGCGCTACTCCGGTCTCAGTCGGTGTGAATGAGAGGTGGAGTCCGGGAAGGGCTCTCTGGTGGTCTCAGTCGGTGTGAATGAGAGGTGGAGTCCGGGAAGAGCTCTCTGGTGGTCTCAGTCGGTGTGAATGAGGGGTGGAGTCCGGAAAGAGCTCTCTGGTGGTCTCAGTCGGTGTGAATGAGAGGCGGAGTCCGGGAAGAGCTCTCTGGTGGTCTCAGTTGGTGTGAATGAGAGGCGGAGTCCGGGAAGGGCTCCGCTGGTCTTAGTCAGTGTGAATGAGAGGTGGCGTCCGAGAAGGGCTCTCTCTGCTGGTCTCAATGAGTGTGAATAAGAGGTGGAGTCCGGGAAGAGCTCTCTGGTGGTCTCAGTCGGTGTGAATGAGAGGTGCGGCGTCCGGGAAGGGCTCTCTGGTGGTCTCAGTCGGTGTGAATGAGAGGTGGAGTCCGGTGAAGGGCTCTCTGCTGGTCTCAGTCGGTGTGAATGAGAGGTGGAGTCCGGGAAGGGCTCTCTGCTGGTCTCAGTGAGTGCGAATGAGGGGCGGCGTCCGGGGGCTATCCCCCTACTGACCATGCAGTAGGGAGGCAGATGAAATGCGGTTGAGGATGAATGGCCCAGGCGAACTTGGTTGCTGCGGGCTTAAGCGTGGTAAATGTTGATGCTGGCTCTTTGCCACATTGGAGGGTAATTTATAAGTTTTCCGAATTCGGGGTGGGCGGGATCATTTTTTGTGTCATTTTTCAAGTGAGCACACACAACAGGATCTAATCAGCTGTGGTGGCTCGGTCTGGCCGTTTACAGGCGACCTTTGTGTACTGCTGTGGAACCTCTACCAGTACTACAGTCAGTTTTACGCAGTGGTTGAGAGCCATCTCAAGGCTCTCCGTAAACCTGTGGAGCAAAAAGTGAAGGACTTCGTGAAGATCGCCCGCTGGAATGACGTCAACTTCTGGTCGGTGAAGGACACAGTGAAAAAGTCGCACAGAATGGTCCACAAGCACGTGAAGGAGTTCCAGGTGGGTTGGGGTGTCCTGTGCGCGGGTGCTGTGTCGGGCTGCGGTGGGAGATGTTGACAGACAGGTTATGCGGAAGTCACACTGTGGTACGCCGCCAGTTGAGCGAAAAGTGCGTATGAACTGGGAAGGCGCTTAGTGCTGTTCACGGATAGCCAGCTGATAGCAGTTGGTACAGGGCCTGCAGCCGTGCGAAAGTCCATCTCGGCTCGCAGTTTGTGTGCGTTTCCCTGTGAATAATTTTCTTTCCAACTGAAAAAGTGGAACGCTTCACGATTGTGCGTGTCATCCTTGCGCCAGGGGCCACGCTAATCTTCTCTGTATCGTTCCAATTTTAGTATGTGTACAGCCGGAGCTGGTGCGTCACAAAAGGGAGCAATCTGGTTATTGGATCGTCGACCTTTGGTCCCACATTCAGCCTAGTTTCATCATGTGCGGTAGTGATGTGTGTTCTACCACCTACTCAGACACATTTTCTCACTATTAACTTATACTTGAATTAAATGCTTTTCGGCCAGGAAAAGATTCAATGGATAGATTTTCCTTTTGTTAGCGTGGGGAGCATTTTTGTCATCGCTCGCTGGAGCAGTTCCACTCAGCTGCTGCCACCTGGCGTCTGGTGACGACACTACTGCCGCGCCACCTGGCGGCCGGCGCGACAACTTGGCCTGATGGCGGGCGGGACCGGCCGGCAGGCGGTGCTGGCGCAGCCGGTGGCGCCGGCGCTCGTCGACCCTGACGCGTTCGATGACGAGGCGAACCGGCAGCTGGGGCTCTGGGATCGGGAGCAAGTGGCGCCGCTGCTGACGCCCGTCAACCCCAACCTGTACATCGCCCGCGGCAAGGTGGCGGTGAGTGGAGCCCGGGCGTGTGGCTCGGCGAGGGAATGCCGCTTTCCGCGCCGCACCTTGCGTCCGATTGTGATTATTATTGTTATCCGGCCCTCTGTCCTCATGTGCCATTCCGTTCTGAATCCGTCCGCTGTCGTCGGGTCAGACTGCGGCGCTTGACCGAGAGAGGGCTGACGTGCCGCCCCCTGGTGAGCGCCCGGCTCGAGCGCCCACACAAATATTAAGTGAGATACTCTGAGCGGGTTAAGTTTCGGCAGCTCAGTCTCCTCCGACGTTTGCCAATCAGACTCCTACGACGTTTGCGTTCATCTAATCACGCCCCGAAATGGCCACTGTTGGCTGCGAGGGCTCTGATCCAAACTGGCACGTGCCTGGATCCCCCAATTGCCGGGATATCATAACCAGGGAACCATAGCTTTGATTCAGACACACGTCTGAACCCAAATCAAAGCAAGTTCTAAATGGCTGGGATGGTGGGCGTTCTGTCCCTCCCTTTCGCGGGTTCGGTGATAACCCGCCTCTCAGTACCCCGCATGTTGAATGTGCACTGCATTGGAGCAGTGGTGTTTGTGGGACAGGGGGTCGTCTTGCACGCGTGTGGTTGTGGCTCATCGTGGGAAAACACTGCAGCCGTTTGACTTACTTCAAGAGGAACGGAACGCTTGCCGTATGGTGCCGTATGGAACGTTTAACGTATATAGTGCCGTATATATTTGCCATATATATGACCATGGTCACCACAGCAATCCACTCAAATCGCGTGTCTGGCGGGCGTGGCCGCACCTTGACGCGGTCGGCCGTGCCGTGCCGTGTCGCGCCTGGCCTCGCCGCGCCGCGCCGTACCGTGCCGGGCCGCGCCGTGCCGCGCCGCACCGTGCCGCGCCGTGTCGTGCTGACCCGTGCTCGCGCGCCACGCGGCCAGGTGTCCGACTGCCCGTACCCGGAGCACGAGCAGCTGGCTCGGCTGCGCCTGCTGTACATGCGCAGCCGCCGTCTTTGCCGCGGCGTCTACAGCCGCTCTCGGCTGATGGATGACGTCACCACGCTCAGTGACATCACCGGCACCATCTGCGAGACGGCTAGTGAGCTCAGCAAACTCAACGTGAGTCGTGGTGGTAGTTTGTCGGCGTTTGGTCATGTGTGAGTAGTGGAGAGTTTGTGTGTGTGCACATCGTAAGCGTGTTCTCACCGAGGCGGAAACTTAGGTCGGGGAAGGCTTCAAGCGATAGGTATCGAATTCCAGAGGACTTGCCCCGGAAGACTCGGCAGCGAAGATGGGCTCAACGTGTGAGACGCTAGAAAGGTTTTCGGGTTTGTAAGTGTTTCTCGCGTAATTGTGGCCTTCTGTACTAGGCGTGATGGTCGGGTGCTCCAACTACGTGAATTGCTTTGCCTGGCCGATGACTTGGAAAAAGTATTTTCTATCCGATTTCGCCAACATCGGACCGTTGCGTTCACTATGGACTTGGCACTGGGTATAGGGTCGTAACTTCCAGTGCGGTCGGTGGAGTGGCAAGCCCAGACAGTCGCCTGTGGTGTGCGTTGCCTCGGCACACCTCTGACGTGCCGGAACCGCCTGGCGTCCACCACGGGCGTTTGGGGTGCGCGGCGAGCGTCACCAGCCCGCCTCCGGCGCCCCGCAGGTGGACGGCGTCGAGGACAAGGACAAGCGCCGCAAGCTGGTCGGCCACATGAAGCAGCGCAAGCGGAAGGCGGCCGTCGAGCTGTACCGCACGCTGGCCGACATGGGCCTCTCGTATCGGCGCGGTCTCGTCTCCTGGGAGAAGGAGTCCACCTACTGCAGGTGCGACGAGCGCCGCTGACGCTGCCCGGTCACCGGCCGCTGACGACCGGGTGGCTGCGTATGGAACCGGCTGGAATATGCAGGCTGAATCACAAACCATGCGTAACGCTGCTGACCATGGCGTTGAACCATTCGACGAAAATAGATGAACCTTTGGTATGGGTACGGCTGGTGTGTGTTTACGGTGCTTGGAGGTGGGGGTTCCGCCAGACAGCCGACAGTGCGCCGTCACCATCAACAGTCTCCGTGCGTGGTCCGGTGTCGTGGAATTCGTGATTCGGCCGGGGTGTGTTTGGGCTCTCACGGCATTCAGAGACCAATTCGGGGCTGTGGAGTTAGATAGAGAGGTAGGAAGCGGGGTAATGGTGGATTTACTGTGCATTTACCTTACACCGCATGAATACTCGATTGTCCCACTCCCCGTGCTTATCCGTCCGAGGTCTCACCACATAGTATACTCATCACAGTGGCGTTTCATTCCTGTCATCTAACTCTGCCTCTTCCGGGCCAGCCTGCTGCAGGCGCCGCCGGTGGACGTGACGTCTGGCGACGGCCGTGTCAGCGCTGCCTGGCGGGGATGCCTGAAGTACGAGTGCCGCGCCGTGTCACGGATGGCGCTGCTGCGGCGCGCCCTGTTCGAGCCGCACCGCGAGCTCGGACCGCAGAACCTCGAGCGCATGCGCGGATACAGCGCCGACCTGATGGTGAGCGCTGCCTGCGCTTGTTAGCGGAGGTTGGCGTGTGCGGCGTTCAGAAAGGCATGTTTTCCGGATGCGATAAGTTTTGTTTTTCTTGGCATTTACAGTCTTCGCCTATAATTCGTGCTGTGACGCCCGCCAGCAGCAGATGTCGCTGGTAGCTGCCCGCGCGTTGACTTGGTTTCCGTTCCACAAAGCCCACCGCGGCAGTTGGTCGACGCGCACCGCCGCTGTGTTCAGCGAGGACGTAAAGCCTGATCTGTCGTGTCGATATTGCGTCGAGCCCGGCGCGGCCGCGCGTCGGCCGATCCTGACGCCGAGCCCGACCTGGCCCGCTGCAGATGCTGGTGGGATCGACTCGGGTCAGCCTGGCTGCCACGGAGCAGCACGTGAGCCGGCTTTCATCGCTGCTGGAGGAGGTGACCGGCCTCACGTGCCAGCCGCACCCCAGCCGACACGCGACCGAGCAGCGCCGCTACCGCGCCACAGAGGTACGGGCTCGCGCCGGTCAGCGGGGCTCCGGCCGCGGCGTGAGCGGTCCGGCGGCTGTGCTGATGGCGACCACCGCTCAGGCGGAACTGCAGGGACTGGGGCGGGCGCCAGCCGCCCGCTTGCTGCATTGTCTATGTCAGATGTCCTGGTCATGTGAGTGTTTGTTTGAGGCCGCGCTGGTTCTGGCTGCGTGTTCATCAGGCTGGAATTTCGGCATGCTTTGTACGGCTCGTGAGCGGCTGTTGCCGCGTGCGGCGTGTTCTCTGTCACTGGTCGCGCCGCCCATGACTCTGACTCTGACTCCGGCGTCGTCCGCCCCCGGTCCCCGTCCGGAGCCGTGACGCAGCACGGCTGTGTCGGCAGGCGCACCTGTTGGCCGTCAGTGGCCGGTACCTGGCGCTGCTGGCCCGGCTGCGGCTGTACCTGCACGCGGCGCGGACGGCCAGCCGGCGGCGGCCGCCGACACGCTGCGCCTCAGTGGAGCCCCCTGCTCCGAGCTGCGCGAACGGGGCCGCGCCGCCGCCGAGCACGCGCCGCTGCTCATCCAGGTGGACGCGGCGCTGGCGCGGACG